CAAAGGACACACTGACAAAGGAGATTAATCAGAACTGACTTTGACAAGCACTGTGGCAAGTGGACAATTAAAACAGACATTCGGATGGCGGGGGAAGAAGAACAAACTGGGGAGGAGGGTGGAGAGAATGGTGCAGCAATGAAGGAATGAAAACCCAAAATCCCTGTAAATGTTCATTAAAACTAATAAAATTTAATAAAAAAAAAGAAAGAAAACAGTATGCCTACTGCTACAAAGCAACCAAGAACTTAATGCTTTTCTGAAACATGGAAGTCTTTTACTTGTAATGGGAGGGAAAGTTAAAAAGTGCCAACTTCCTCTCCCTATCAAGTTGTCACAAGATATAAGATAATAAAAGGGGAAAGGGTAAAAAAAAAAAAAGGAACACTCAAAATACATGTTTCACAAGTGGAATTCAAGATCAGTGCTTTTAACGTGATTACTTTTGGTACTCAGGTTTTTGCGGGGTTTTCCTCTTTCCCCTCTGATTTTTGGCCTCTAAAACAAAATAGAGTGACAGCTGAAAAAAGTACTACCTTCAGGGACCCACACATTACCATTAGTGTCCCAAAATATTATGCTTGGACTGACTATTTATGGCAAAGACAGGAGCATTTTAGAAAAAGGAATGTAAAAAATGTGTATTCTAATGACTTATTAAGAAGGAAAACAGGACCTCTGGGGGATGTTTTCTATTTCAGACAAAAATCACAAATTCAAAGCTGAATCCATTTTGACCCCAAATCATTCTACCCAGTGAGATGGCTTTATGAGCCTTCTCAAAAGTCCATACCAACATCTATCTTCTCAGATCTAACTAAGTATCAGACTCAGGACCAGGCATAGCAGAGAAGTTCACACTTAAGCACAGATTTGAGTTTCTGTCCCCAAATCTTAACATAACTGAGCGTTAAAACAATTACTGAACAAATACATTCTGCATTTGCCTCAAAACCAAAACCAAAACTATTTCTTATAAATTTGATGTTTTTTTAACTCCAATCTACAAGAATGTAAACTTCATGAGGACAGGATCTTGGGCAAGTTTTGTTCACTGATTTGCCCCATGTCCGGAATAGTTGCTGGCACACAAACAAAAGGTGTTCACATTACATCTTGGAAAAGCCAAACAGGTACTGAGTTCCTGTGCAAGGAACCAGCAAAACAACAGTAAATCTGTCAGGCTTTCTGCCTTGTAGGGACTCAAGCCTCTTGAGGAAAACTGTAGATAACCAGAAAAACAACTGCTCTAACAGAGGACCTGGAAAGAACTATTAAGAACTCTGAGCAAATCAAAAGAAGTTTCATATCAGAAACAAAATAATCCTAGGTGACAGTAACAACGAGAAACTATTTCCAATGTGTAGGTTCCCTTCCAAGTGTATTACACATTTAACTAATCAAATTCTCAGACCAACTCAATGAACTGAATTTTGTGATGATCTTCATTTTACAGGAAGTGGAAATTAAGGCATAAAGAGGTTAATTTAAAAAAAAAAAAAGAAGAGGTTAAATAAATCCCCAAGGCATGTTGTTGCTTTGTGCGTATGTATTGCATGGGAGGAGACAGCCCACCTTTTTCCCTCCAAGCAGCTGAGAGATTTGAACCACTTGAAGTTAAACAAATCCCTGAGGCCACAAAGCTAGTTGTTGCTATGTGCTATTGAAACTAACTCATCATGGTTTCCAGAGGCTGTAAATCTGACAGGAAGAGACGGCTCATCTTTCTCCCTCAGAGCTGCTGGTGGATGCGAAGTGCTTGTCTTTGGATTGGCTGAGCGACTCCTTATCCGCCCACCAAAGCTAGCTAGGGGCTGAGCGTCTGAAGCAGGCAGCTGGAAACTACTGTTGGTATGTTTTGCTATCACTTTCTTCTTTTAAGAGTTATAAAAAAATTAGCAAATAATCAAAGAGAGAAAATATTTGTCATAATCATGGCAAATATGAAGTACATATTTGTACTATAAAAGAATTCAATTGCCTCTTGTATTATTTATTGTTTCTTTATTATTTATTGGTGTCTAACAATATAAAGCCACCAGCTTCTCCACAGGAGAAGGATGGGCCATCTCCTCCTGTGTGATTAACTGCCTCTGAAAACCCACTTGAGGATCAGCTATGGGTTAGTTCCGACTCTACAGTACACAACAACAACAACAACAACAACATAAGCAAATGAAAGGTGAGCAGACAGGTGACGCTGTGCAGAGGTGTGGATGGTGAGGCACTGTCTCACGTACACTGATCATGCTATCGTGCTTGGAAAAGCAGAGGCTTAGCTAAAAAGAAGAAGACCCTCAAAAAAGATGGACTGACACACAGTGATTGCAACAATGGGCTTAACTGAGCACAGTGGAGATTGTCAGGATGGCACAGAACTGGGCAGGGATTTCTGCCACTGTACATAGGGTTACCAGGTGTCGGATAAGCACCTGACAGAAATAACAAAATACTCTGTTAAGTGTGGAGGTGGAAAGAGGGTTTGTTGTTATGCACAGCTGACCCTCCAGCAGGTATTCAGAGGCTGTAAATCACACAGGAAGGAGCTGCCCATCTTTATCCCTCAGAGCAGCTGATGGATTCCAACCATGTGCCTTTGGGTTACTAGTGCAACTCCTTATCCACTAAGCCACCCCTGGGTGTAGGTTACAGTGAAGCAATTTGCATAATAGGTTGAGGGACTTCTAGAAGAAACTCCCAGTGCCCTCAAAGTCAAAGAAAGTCACTGAGAGGTGGACTAGAGAGGCTGGAAAACAGAGTGGCTAGGAAATGTCCTTATAAGGCAGGGGAAGGAAGCCTCAGCTGATGATTGGAGGGACATCCCCTGCCTCAGGCTGGATGTAGCCATAGTACTGACCAGAGGGGCCAGAGTAACACATTGAAGAACAGGAAAGAAAAGCTAAAGTTGGGTCCTGGGCTCCAGCTGGCAGGATTCTGTCCCATCATGTCCCTCAGCCTACCCAGAACACATGACCAAACCACAGGGCCAATGGACAGGACAGGCTGGCCTGGCTCTCCTCCCTCCCACCTCACCCTACCACCTGGCACTTGAAAACTGAAGTAGGCCAACTTGAACCTCTTAACCTGACACCAAAGTTTCAGATCCCCTTTTTAAAAATCACCCTGTAGCTCACTGGCTTCCCCCCCCCCCCCCCCAAAACAATGCTAGTCAAACTTCTTCTGTTTTGTAAAAAAAAATTTAAAAAAAAAATCCAAGCTTCAATTCTCATGTGTGCTCCCCCCACCCCACTCCCACTATATACCTTTAAACAGTGCATTAAAAAAAATTCTGTTTTGTTACCTGTAACAGATCTTCATTGAGCACCTCTGTTTTCTCGGCTCTGTGGGGTGGGGGTGGGGGGAAGGAAAAGTTCAGAATTAGAAATCCAGCAATGAAAAGCAACTCATAAAATAATAATTATTCTAGAGCTATAAACAAGCAAACAAAAAAACCTAAGAGAGGCAGAAATACATGGTAAAAGTTTAATTTGTTTTACATCAGGGGGCCATGTATGCAAAGCCAAATGCAAGGCAGAAGGTGGGGGGGAGATTAGAGAACAGCAACCCACAGTGAGAACAAGTCATCTCCAACAGCACATCTCAAATTTGAGCACACAAGAAGCTACGGAAGCAATGAGACTGAGAGTGCTAATAATTTAAAATAGATTCCCAGGCCTCACTCCAAGAATTCCTACTTCGAGCAAGTCAGGTCTGAAGTAAGACCCTGAATTTTCAACCAGTTCCTCTAGATTCACAATCCCACTGTAGGAAGCCTGCAGAGTACATCTAAACACTCAGACATCAGTTCTCAAGATTTTTTTTTCCTGAGTCTTAAAATCTTTTGACCAGGTCTGTGATAGATTCAGAAATGTTAAACAGTCATCCAAATCCAGACGATCAGAGTCCCTGGGCTGGTTAACAAGGTTAGAGGTGCATTTCCACACAGAGGCATCTGGGAAGAAAGGTCTGGCAGTGTACTTGGGAGAGAGGAATGATTCCAGAGCACAGTTCCAATAGGATAGACGTGGAGTTGTCAGGAGTGAGAACTGACTCAACGGCTGTTTGACATTGGTCCTACCTTCCCACTTCAAAAAACTCTTCTTTAAAAAGAAGAGTTTCTACAACTTGGCCCCTTTCTGTGCTTTAAAATTACCCTGAACAACTTCTTGGGCCCTCCCAGAAAAATCATCGTGTCCACCGAAACCCAGCAGGATAGATTCTCCTCTGTAGTTCAACAGGGCTATATTACCGTCATGGACCAAAAAAATCTCACTGCTGTTGAGTCAATCAGCTCATTTTAGGAGCAGGTGAGCAGGTTGTAGACTACATGGGAGGAGACTGTCCCCCTTTCATCCTGTACAGCAGGTGAAATGAAAGCGGCAGAAAGGTGCAGAGCTTGGGTTAGCAGTGCCATCCCCTACAGACTGCTGTTATATGTCACCGGATGAGAACCAGCTCATAGCTGACCCTGAAGCAGCTGTTCAGAGGAGAAAGCCCAGCAGGGGACTCCCCGTCTTTCTCTGCTGGACTAGCCAGCGGATTTGGATTGTCAATGTAACTTCTTACTGCTAGGCCACCAGAGCTCCCTCCCTATGGACTCCTGCCATGTATAGGATCTGGGTATATGCCCACATATAGTGGTACTAGAGTGCTCAAACATTGATTTGAGTTGAATAATTTAACTTCCCTATCAAATTCCCTTTGAAACAGACAAACAAAATTATTAAAGAGTCTGTAATTTAACTTCCTTACCAAATTCTCGTTGAAACAAACAAAATTATAAACCATAAGAGTCTGTTTTAACCCTTAACAAAAGGGGGTAGTGAGTGTCAACAAATCAGAAATTTTAAAGGCTTTCTTAAGATGCTCCAAATGGCTAGCAATCAGAGAGATACAAATCAAAACCACAATGAGATACCGTCTCATCCCAGTGGCAGTGGCAAAGTTTTAACAGGGCGGCACACAATAAATGTCACAAAGAATGTGGAGAGATTGGAATTATCATATACTGCTGGTGGTATTGTAAATGGTATAATTACTCTGGAAGGCAATTTGGCATTTCCTCAAAAAGCTGAACATACAAATGCCTTATGAGCCAGCTATTTCACTGCTAGGAATATACCTCAAGACAAATAGAACTGAGAAACAAACAGATCCTTGTACAGTGATGTTCATACCAACATTATTATTCACAATAGCAAGAACATGCAAACAACCCAAATGTCCATCAACAAATGAACGGACTGAGAAATTATGGTACATTCACACAATGGAATACTATATAGCACTCAAGAGCAATGACTTCGTAAAATACTACGTAACAATGGAGAAGCTAGAGAGCATTACGCTGAGTGAACTAACTCCATCTTATAAGGACAAATACTGCTTAAGACTACTATTGTAAAAATAGAAGGATAACTAATAAAATGTGGATAAAAGTCCATAAAGGGGGAGGGGGACAAGGTAATTGAGAGTGAGGAGGGGGAGAACCACGGGGGCTACAAAGTTTGATGGATGTAGGGAGGAAGTAAAGGAAATTAGGACAAATCCAGTGTGACCTGAAAAGACAGCGTGATGGTGGGCAGAGACCAATGGTGATTAATTTTGTAAAGCATAATGTATATGAACGATTGTATCAAACATAACGTGAATGAAGGAATGTGTGAAACACACAATGTACACTAATTAAACATAATATATATGAATTTTGTATGCAAGCCAATATAAAATAAAGTTCTAGAAAGGATACAAGGCAGGATATTGTTGTTGCTATGCACTGACCCATAACAGACGCTCTGAAACCCTAGGTTTTCAGAGTCATTGTATCACACAGGAGGAGACTGCCCATCTTTCTCCTGTGGAGCAGCTGGTGGATTCAAACCATATACCTTTGTGCTCACAATTCAATCCGTTACCATTAAGGCACAGAGCTCCCTGAGGGTTGCACTGTCCTGCCGTGTTATTTACTTCATATGCCAGTAAAAAAAAATTAAAAAAAAAAATAAATAGCCAGAAAGTAGATGGGACTCCTTAGAACCACCTCTAAACACTGCTAAGCTCAGAGCAGCACCAGCTGTGGCGAGGGCAAGAAGCTTCGTGGGCACACCTCCAGCTTATACTCAGGATGATGGCATGTTAAACTGTAGGAGGGTAATGCCTCTGAAGATTCTAAATGCCAGTCATCCCAGCCCAGTTAAGTCAGAACTGCTTCCAGGAGCAGCTTACCCACTGATATGTGCAGGAAACCGGAACTCGGATCTGACTTAATATTGCTCAGGTCCAGAGGAGGTGGGGCCAAAGCCCTTGTCCCCAAAGGAGGTCACTCTCAGCTCTATGAACAAGTTCCACCAGCAGCCAAAACATGCCATCAAGCCCACATTTTTTGGCTCGTGTGGTGCTGAGCATTGCTGAACTGCCAAACAGGTAATCATGTCACTTTAGAGAACCAGAATGGGGACCCCAGCTCAATTTTGTGAAACCCAGCAAGAAGCCTCAAAGAAAAAACCTCACAGTCAGTGGTGCAGCAACCCTGTCTGACAGCCTCCACTGGCACTTTCCAGGCTCCTTCTCAATGGTCACACCCCTCTCCTAGCAAAATGTGACTATTACGCTGTGTAACTTTCTCCATTTCTTCTTTATCCAGAATTAAAATAGGTAGACAGGGCTCTCTATAATTTGTGTCCCAGTCTACCTTAACACTAAAACTTCTCTAGATCCACACTTCCACCTCTAGAGAGAAATACATAGTGCAAAGTCCCAGGAACTATTACAATATTGAGAACTTAAAAAAAAAATTCCTCGTAGGATAAAATAAAAATAAAAATCAATAAGATTAAGGCATCTATCCATCTGTAATTTTTTTCAGAGTCAGTTAAAAATTCTCCAGGACAGTGCTGTAACAGTCACCAAGAAAATAAAAAAGTGAAATAAGCATTAACTTTAGAGAAAACAAAAAAGTCTGTAAGAGAGAGAGAGAGACTTCAACAGATGGCTATGATCAGCTGCAATTAACCAACTGGTAACACTACCAGACACTATAAAATAACTACTTTATGAAGATGAGGGAGCAAGACCAGAGGAGACTATTAGAATGCTGAATTCTCTCCTATCCTAAGCAGTCAAAAGATAATTCATAAAATTGATGACCCAAAGGACTGCAGTTTGTCCACATATTTAAAAATACAGACAGATTAAATTTCAGAATAAGCAAAGTTAAGAAGTGGCTGCCTGAGGAACAGAAGGATCCTGGGGAGACTGAGTAGCACATCCTCAAATTTTCTGCTAAGTTTTACATGGTTTTTTACTTTTTAAACGACATGTATGCATAGCTTAAAATTCCTTAAGATAGTATGTTAGTAATTAAATATTTAAGTGGCATGATTATTTTATTTCCAGGTGAAATATCTAGATTTAAACCAATCTGCCAATATGTGCAAAAGCTCAGCATAGTGTGTATCTCAGAGTATCCAAAACACCTGGAAGAGGAATTTATTTTCCTTTATGTCCCAACTGGTTTAATTTCAGAGTTCACCTAAAAAGCTCCTATCTGGAGGCTTGGAAACATAGTGAACATATATGAAAACGTAATTAACAAGTTGTTGCTGTTGTTGTATGTACTACCAAGTCAGAGTGACCCACAGCTGACCTTCCAGGGGGTTTTCATTGGCAGTAAATCACACAGGAAGAGAATGCTCATCTTCCACAAGCCATTGGTGGATTTGAACCACATACCTTTATGTTGGCAGCACTATTCCTTATCCCTAAGCCACGGGAGCTCTCTTATGTTTTAACAAGACTTTTTTTTAGTGTGGGGGTGTGTGTTTACCATCCACTGTCACAGAAGATTGCCTCTCCTTCTCCAGCAGAGCATCTGGTAGATTCAAACTGCCTGCATTTGGGATTGCAATACAGCTTCTTAGAGCTTCCTGAAAGACATTTTTAAATTTCTTCCTACCTTTACCTCTTACCTCTTCTTATCTCTCTTTCCTACATTTATGAACACTGTGTATTACAGTGATAAAATTAATTTTGGAAATTCTACCTTCTTAACTAAATTTTTGGGTTCACCGCAATATACAAATAAATAACTATAATCAAGAAAGATGACTTTCAAGTGTTAAATCATGATGGAAGCATATAATACAGTATTCAGTGATTCTCCCATTACTCTGCTATCTCTATCTTCATTTTAGGAAACCACTGGAAGTCTCTCTCTAGTTGGTTCAAATGGCCTGATCTCGCTCACCACTGTGACTAGTCAGAGGGTCATCTTAGCTAGAGGAGTGGCATTCTAACCTAAGTCCAGCAGTTATTCAGAATACCCATCAAGGAGCACAT